TTCAAAAAGGCGAGTGTTTATTACATTTTAACCGACATAATTTGAGTTTGTTGTTGTTTTTGTAAATTAGTTTCACGCTCTCTAGTTTAAAAACTTGCGGTTTAGGCTCAATTTAATAACTCCTTGTTTAGGCTCAATTCCTTAGTTTTGATCATCTGCTTTTCGTTTGTCTTTTTCCTAAACTCAAGGTTTCGCATAAAATGAAAATTGTAAATTGCCACCGCATGCAAAAATCAGATTAACATGGGAAATGAAATTGTAGAAAACTGAGCAAACACTCAGGTTTATTAACTAGGTCAGTTAGGGATTACCCTGCGAGACAGAGATTAACTTCTCTTTCGGCGCGCGCGCGATGAGAAGGAACCTCTGCACACAACCGCACGATCCTTTGATCTTGCCGCGTCCCAAATCTGGGATGAATAAATTAACAAAGTACTGGTTTTTAACCGGTTAAAACTCGTTAAAACCTAGAAGTGCGCGCGCTTGCACGCGCTTCATCACGCGTACGGGCCACTTGTATGCGTCAGTACAAAATTTTCCTTTCCAAAACTGCTTCAAACTCGCTATATAAGCAGAAACAATGATCATCTATTGGAAAAAGAATATTCTACTAACTGAACTAATCATTTTCCTAAGAAATTACCGGGAAAATTGCCAATAGATGCAAAGAAATTCAAAAGCTTACGCGTACAATTCAGCGCGCGCATGCTGAGCGCGAGTACCTATACTGACGTAGTTCGCGCATGCACGATAGGAAATCGAGCGGTTGTGTGCAGAGGTTCCTTCTCGTCGCGCGCGAAAAGAGAAGTGAATCTCTGTCTCGCAGGGTAGTTAGGGATGGACCATTTTATTTATTTTTTTTTTTTGGGGGGGGGGGGGGGGATTGGGCAATTTTTCTGAGCTCGAATTTTTTTTCACCTGTTGCTTGTGAGTGAGTGAGTGAACTCTCTTTGCACGATTTTTTTTTCTCTACTTTTGCTGTGCAGGAATTTTTTTTGGTAATTGCCCAACCCCCCCCCCCCCCACCCCCTCCCCTCCCAGAGCTGTACCAACCTCGTCCCCAGTGTCTTCTTTGCTTTCAAGATGGCGGGTGGGCGCGAAGAAGACCCTGGCGAAGGGCAGGTCACGTGTCTCCAAAAATATTCAGTGGAGATTTTGATTGTTTTAAAATGGCGGCGGGCTCGCGATTGGCTAATTTTGTGGTCACGTGACCTGCTCTTCGCCAGGGTTTTCTTCGCGCCCACCCGCCATCTTGAAAGCGGAGATGGCCCTGGGGACGAGGTTGGAGGACACCGCGGAAAAAACGCATCGCGCATGCGTGTGACATCACGATTTTTCACTCGGAAGAAACGAGAAAGAAGTATGGATTCTTGCATTCTCGTTCCCAGATCCTCCGTTTCTTCGCAAAGAAAAAAAACGAGGAGCCCTGGGGACGAGGATGGGATTCTTGCTGGTAAGAGAATTCGAAATCCATCCACTGCGGTATCTACTGGACTTTTTAGTCAGGAAAGCAGTCAAAGCACAAGACAAAATTATCATTGCAGAACTGGAGACGTTTTTTGACGTGATGGAGTCGGTCAAATCTCGCTCTTCTGTCTCAAACATTATTACACTATCAACAGAATCAACTCGGCTGGGTCTACAAATATTCGATCCGTGAGAATATATATTTTTTTGCTGGGAGATCTCGCAACGCAATTGAGACGAAACAGCTAAATAATCTTGGTAAACAATGTTTCCAACTGTAAGCTATAAGTTTATGTACTTGTAGATGTATTAAAATATGGTAGCTTATTGATTTCCTTGCTTGTTTAGCTGGCAATGCAATGGGTTTTATTTGATTTTGATATTAATATTCCAGATTCGTTGGTAGATTTCAGTATGTAGTTCAGTTGATTTATAAACTGTCTTGAGAGAAGCATCACTGATCTGTGTTCTTTTTGCTGGTGCTAGACTATTCAGTATTGTTGTATTTCAGCTCATTAATTTTTTTGAAGTAAAACATTTCATCAGGAGCTTGTTGTTTTATAACCTATCAGAGGTAAAGTCATACGCGAGTTGTTTATTTTAGGATTTATTTGGAAGAAACCAGCAACCTACTCAGATACTAGTATATTACACTTTTGCACTTACATGTATTCTTGATATGGAAGATCTTTCTCTCTTCTTGAATGTATTTAATAACTCCTGTTTTGTCATATTAATCCAAGCAAGTGTATTTATATATATTGACTATTGTAAACATTGTTTTCACTCCCCTCCCTCTCTCCTCTGCAGAGGCTTCTGTTGTAATCATGCGTGGGAAGATTTCTTCTGCAGAGGAGAGAGAGCTCTTCCAATTTGATTTCGGTTTGTCTTAATTTTAGTTTGATTGAAATTACCTTTTTTCACTTTTCATGTTATTTTGAAAGGTATATTTTGTGATTACATTCAATTTTACATCATTTTAAAAATAATTTCAGTATAAAAATATGTAAATTTTATTAGCAGCCATTCGTCTCCATACTACTCACCCTAAGTTTTTATCGATAATTGACTCAGAGCTTTATCCCTTGCCAACTATCAGTTAATAGAAACCTTGAGCTTGCAGTCTTGTCTACAAGCCCCATCACAATAAGTAACAATATTAAATTGTTAAAACAGTTCACCATTGTTATCCCCCCTTCCCAATTTTAATAAGGAATTTTTAATTATTCCATGTCATCTAGCAAAGTAAGTACATGTGAACAGGATACTACAAGCAATCGTTTAGAGCAGCATTAGTGACTAGTATGCAGCAGTACTATTTTATTAAGAAAACATAAAACTATGACATATTTCTTGCAACTAGTCTTTATACTATATTGGCAAATTATATACTTGTGATATGAATCGATATGAAAGCCCTAGTACAACGAAAAAGAAAGATCAACAGAGTATAAACTCGTATTTTATAGGGAAACATGTTACAATATGACTGCACGTTGGATACACGGTGAATTTTCCTTAAAAATTAGTTAAGTGTTGAGCTAACGTGTTGATTATCCTCTTGCGTGGGAGATCCTGGAAGATCACACAGTACCATTCTCAACAGGTATAAGCAGTTTCGATGTTTTACAGTTTATAGAAAAAATTCAGAGAAGAAAAACTATAACAGTAGAAATGATGTACCTGTGGTATCAATTTTAGCCTTAAATACGACGATGTCACCTTAAAAATAAGCAAAATGTGGGCCATTTCCTGTGCTATTATTACATGTAAATAATGACGTCAAGCTCTGTCAAAATAATACGATTCGACTGAACCCTGTTTTGCAAACTTTCGAGACTTGTAGTACAAAGAAGAAGAAAGATCGGCAAGATATAAACTAGTGTTTAGACCATCATAATAAGATGTACCTTCAGTTTCGATATTAGCGTTAGATATGTTACGGATTTCTTAAAAATCAGAAAAATGTTTACGATCCAAACTGCCGTTCCATCGAGTCAGGATGCCGTGCACGTCAGCAGCCCAAACGAGCAGACTTCCGATGCTTGTAGCAAAAACTAGAAGAAAAATTACGAAACTAGAAATTGAGAGTTAACAGAACATAAAATAATGTACCTGTAGTATGAATCTTAACCTTATATTTTCAGGGGTTTCCTTAAACTTTGCCAAAATGTTCACTTTCCAGTCAGTGCCTTATAATCTTGCTAAATTTCTGCACATGCGCAGACGTTTTTTCCGCGGTGTCGGTTGGAGCTGTACATGCATCGCGCGTGGATCCAACAATCTACCCATCATGCATACGCAACCTTTTTCTTTTTCCGAGAATTTGACAACATTGTGCTCATTTGCATTTGCATTGT